ATAATTAATATTAATGTACATTGTATAACATATAGTATATTAATTAAAATTAATACCACCCTTTCAAATACTCGAGTCTTTCTAGAAAGAAAAAAAGAAATTAAAGGAAAAAAAAATCAAATCAACAATTTAAAGTTTATAAAATTAAAAATGAATAAAAAAATAAAAAGAAAGGAGGCAATGGTTGGGTGATATTTTACCTGGATAAAATGGGAGGGAGGTCGCCCTTGAGACATGGTCTGACCGACCCAGACCTCCTTATCATTCATTGATTGGGGTTATGGGTCTGGTTCAATTTCCGAAGCCACATGCCCTTTACCTTTATCTCATCACAATCAATTTTTTTGAAAACCACATTTTTTTCATTTTCCCCAACTCAACCAAATATAACAGTTTGCAGATATTCGAAACAGGAATTAGCTACGTAAGTTCGCCATTTGGGTTAACTTGTATTTATTTATCAACTCTTTTGAATTAAATGGTTATGAGTTAAAAAACACCTTTATTTTCTTCAGGTTAACCGTAATAATCATATTGTATTCTAATTTATTTTGAGATTTTAAGGACGGAAACCAAAAAAAATTACATACCACTAGGATTTTAAAACCACAAGAACGAAGCCAAAACAAATTACATACCACAAGGAATAAAAGCACAAGGACGAAAATGGCAACACTCAACAAACCATAGGAAGAGAAAACGTGGATTGTGAGAGTATAGAGAATCTCATTAGATTAGCCTCCAAATTAGAGAAGAGAATGGAGGCTCAATCGTATAATGTAAAGAAAAGTCTTAAGTCTAACTCATATGAGACTTCAACGTGCTCATCCAAAGGAGGTTAGGCAAACATAGATTGTCCAGAAATGTCGAAAGAGGGCTAGAAGAGTACAGATTACCCAAGATTGTCGCATTCCTAGAGTAGTAGACCTCGACTCTAAGAATAACTAGAAGCTCGTTAAATTACCCTCTGAAACAACCCTCGGAAAAAGAATGAAAGTTCCATACAGATTAAGGAGAAACAGTTCAAGTCTAGTTGTGTGAGATGAAGTAACCAAATTACATCAATGACACATATAAACAACATAAGATTTATATCTCAAATGTATATTAGCCTACATAAGAACTACTGTAAGCCTGAAACAACTGGGATAGGGCAGGATGCCCGTACAAACATATATATATATATATATATATATATATATATAATTGGATCAAACGAACATACAACTGTAAATGCCCAAACATATTTAAAATAATACCAAGTTATATGTGTGTGATTTATATCTCTACTCGTAAGCGTCGCAATTCAGACAAGAAGGTTTGACTAGAAGTCAAAGTCCGATGAGCAAGAGAGCGAATGTCGTCGCGGGAACAATCGCGTGAGATACGAACCAGCTCCCAAATGGCACCTTCACTAACCATGTCTCTTGCGTTTATTTCTGGAATTATATCAAATTTTGTTAGTTTCTTTTTAACTAAGAAAACAATACTGTTTTCGTGACTGAGCCCATGACATTCCAGTTGCAATTAATCTGTGTATGAGACCTTTCTGTTGCATTTTTCAATACATTGTTTTCATGCATCAAGTCAACGACCTTCGAGTCACATAATTGTAACCTTGTTTGTTGATCAAAGGCTTGCTGTCCATTCATTTCAATTGAATTTAAGTAGCAACATTTGCAATGAAACAAACATACCATGTTGTGCCAGGTGGCAGAGGGCAAGCTCGATGTGCCGCCTAATTATTGATGCTTCATTATTTGCGTTTTGCACTATCCATGGAAGAGCGCCATCTTCTATCAGCAGAGAGCGTCCCTTTTTTGCCCCTAACACAGTTAAAGCAGCAGAGTTTAGTACAATGCCCAAGGTATTTAGGTTTCAACCACTACGACAAAATCGGTTTTATAGGAAGCCAAATGTGTCAAAATGTCCTAATAAACTTGCTTTATAGGACTTACATTAGTAGATACTTCTGGGTGTCCTAACAAGTTTTCTAGGACATGTTTGAAATAAAGCATCCCAATGTCCCATTAGTCATTTTATAAGACACTATTTGAAAATGTATCTTATAAAAACAAGTGTTATATAAAAAGATATGTTCATTGAACGCTTCTCAAAAGTAACCTATAAAAAAACTAATAGCACACTTCATTTCGGACGTGTTCTAAAAAACTTGTTAGGACGCACAAAAGCATCCTATCAACTTGTTGCGACACTTTTACATAGGGCGCACAATTGTTTGTCTTATAAAACTAAGTCCTATAAAATGGTCTATTAGAACATTTAGACATATTTGACGTCTTATAAAACCGATTTTGTTGTATTAAAAAGATAAGAAAGACAAGGTTAGTTTAGTATATCTTGCCAATCCTATGGTGAAGAGAGGTTTTATAACAAGAAAAAAGCAAGGACTGCTTGAGGCATTTACCTTTGCTAGACGCTCGGGACTCACATTTAGCAAAATTTGCGATCCCACGTGCAACTTGTGAAAGAACATCTGGATGTCTTGACCTGACCATTCCAAGCAAAGCCTTGATTCCACCTTCAGATCGCAGCCGGGTTTGAAGTTTATCTGGCAACCCAATATGTCAAAGATAAGAAATTTTTACAGGATGTCTTGTCTTAAACATCTAATTGTGGTGTGCATCACTTCTATGTCTTGCCTAACAATAAATGGTATATTGTACTATCTTCTAGAATCCTGATTTTATATAAATTTTAATTACGTGAAGTAACTACTTTATAGCATTTCTAATATGAACACCAATATGGTTTCTCACTAAAAATTAAAACCCATATCAGCTGAGCTGCACAATATGGTTGGAATTTCCTCATGATGACCTAGTAGCAAGATTATAAGCCAAGCCAAGCCAAACTAATGCACAGCGGCAGACCCAGGAATTATTTTGAGCGGGTGCACATCTAAGGTCAATCAAAGAGTCATAAAATCCTGTTGATCGCGATTTGAACCAATAAAAAGTTAGTTGTATCAATTTGGGGAATAAAATACATTTTGTCAAATGAAAAATCGAACTTTATCTTTTGAACAAGTAGCACGACGCGTCACGCTTTTTTAGCCGAATTACATCATTAAAAAGAACTTTTTTGGTTTTTTGTTTGATTTCCTAGAACTTTCTAATTTTTTGGATTTGATTTTGAATAGGTTTCTAGCTTTGTTTCCTTATGCATCAAGGACTTACAGCTTAAAATTAACTAACCAAATTAAAATAACATTAGGGTTTGAGCAAATGAAAATTGACTAAATAGATTTAGTGCAAATCAGATTTAGAACAAACCTAAAATAATAGATAATGAAATAAAATCAATTTAGAGCAAACTTAAAATTTAGGGTAAATAAGGCAATTCAAAAATAAAATTAAAGGAATGTAGGACAAATAAATAAAACATAACAGATAAGATGCTTCAAAAATGCGAAACAAAGGAGATGACGGACAATTCCTTCCGGGTGGTGATTGAAGAATAGAAGTGGGAACAAAAAAGATGTTTTATCAAAATTTAAGTTTAGTCCCTTCGGTTTCAAAATATTTCAGAATACCCTTTTATTTTCTAAAAGAATTTATGACAAAACAATTTAAAAGATAAAAAACTTTAATACTGCTACAGGTAAGGTGAGGCTCGAACTTAAGACCTTCAGGAAGCGACATTCTTACCTGATTTACATAAACCATCTCGCTGTCATGAGATTGTTGTTATAAGTTTGGTTTCTAAATTTTTAAGGGAACACTCATAGTTTAGCGGGGCACTCCTTTACCGTCTTGTTTTTTTTCCTTTTGTGATAATTGAGTGAGCGGGTGCACGGGACCCCACTCAGCCCTTAATAGGTCCTCCACTTCTAACGCGGTATATCCCACTCGTAAGTAGGGTCTAGGGGATGAGACGTATGCAGGAATGTTCTGCGCCCTAAAGGGTTGAGTGGCTGGTTCTTTGAAGACCCCCGCCTTGTGCAGAAGTGTGAACGAAAAGGAAAGAAGGGTCAAGACCAATAAATAGAACGCAACAGAGAAAGAAGAAAGAATATGGCAAAATCATGTAGTATGTCTAACATAGTGGCAAAATTATACTACATACTTGCTCTTCGTCAAAGTAGTTAGACCATACAATTTAAGGAGCAGGATAATCAGAGTGACTTGTATATAAGCAAAACAGTAGTGAAAACATGTGAGCATTACCATTTCCACATAGATTTGCAATAGCTCCAGCTATCATGCGTAGAGTCTGGGGATCCTCAGCATCGACTGCAGTCATTGCTAACAGACTTATCCCACCTTGAACCACTATAAGCTCCTGATTTGTTTCTGCATAGACCACCAACATTAGCAATAGTTATTACCATTTACACAAATCTGAAAAAATAAAAGACTGTCCACTGAAATTCATTACTACATATTTGGATAAATTAAATGGGGGAAAGAGAATTACCATTCATTGCAAGGTTTGCAATCGCACCAGCTGCTATTCTGCAAATTGTTTCATCAAAGCTTCGACTTCGAAGGAGCTCCAACAGTGATGTGAGACCACCAGCTTCAACTATTCTTTCCTGATTTGTATCTACATGGCACATGTTGAATTTTTATAAGAATAGTTTACACACCTTGGTAACTAAAATCAGCACCGTCGACTGGATTGTACCTATAATAAATAAATGCAGACACCTAGGCTATGTTGCAAAAGGTTACTAATTTGTACGGCTCAAATAATTCATTGGTGATGGTCAAATCATTTATGCGTTTTGTTACATAAAATTTATGCTTTTCAAATCATTTACATTTACATACTTATTTTCATTTACTATTTTGGCTCTGTTCTGCTAAGAGGTTGTAGGGATTGTAAAATGACCTTCAGCTGCTAGGTTGGCCACCACCTTCACGGCATGCAAACGTACATTAGGGTCTTCCGACTCTAGCAAAGATAATATCTTTTGCAATCCAACTGTATAGTTTGATCAACGGAGCAAAGCCATTAGGAATGTTAGCCATCATTGGAGCAACATGTACAACCCCCTGCATACCTTGTTCGTGAATACTGGCTATTGATGATGTCTCTCCATTGCCTTGATCCTCATATTGTGGGTACCTAGGCTGAAACAACAAGAAATCGAAGTGAGATAACACGGAATCTAATCTATGATGCATGATGCATTATTATATTTACACGTTAAAGTTGATACATTTCTAATTGATCCCTTTATAAATGCTACCCCCTTTATATACCTTGAAATCAATCCTGATAAAAAGAACACCAATTTATATGCCAAGTAAACAAATTACCGAAACTAATTTAAAAAATGCATGCAATCTGATAATTGATATGTAAAGGACATGTAGGCAAGTACCTGACCAGATTCACAGGTCAGTTGCGACAACCTGCTTTGTAACAAATGAACTTCTTCTTCCAGTTTCTGTTTCTGATGAGTTTCATCATCCAGTAATTTTTTAAGTTTTACAACGTCAGCATTTGCACCTGCCTAGTCCACGAGGATAATCTGTAATGTATTATAAACTCCAAGAAATAGAACTTGAAGATAATTCACAATACTGATAAATGTTATCCTAGTTGGGTATCAGAAAATTGATACCTCTGTCCATAGAAGCTGGGAGTTCCTAAGATTGTGGATCTCTTCTTCAGCCTCTTTCCGCAAACTAATTTCCTTCTGCAGCATTTTCTGTAACTCTGTAACATCTTCATATACATGGCTCTCACCCTGGTAAATCAGAGAGAGAGAGAGGAAGATGAAAGAATGATAAAAATGATTCCGTTCATTGAAAGGGTAAACCAGACTACTTCAGAAATCACGAGAAGAGACAATAAATAGTGTGATGAGATCAGGAACAGGGCTCTGGATCAAGGTGTCAAATGAAGACATTGACAACATAGAAAAGATCACCATTCACTAGCTATACCTCAATAATGGTCCCTATAAGAGTTTCTTTCCAGCACTTGGTAAGTTCAATTTTTTGGGTTCTTTTAGAAGCACATTGACTAAATAAAGAAATCATGGAAGAGACATCGATCAAGATGTAATGTATTTACTTGATCTTCCCCTCTCTTCAAACCATGTAATGTATTCCCATTGTTTCTTTGCAGAAGCAGAAAGAACCCATACCGACTTACATTAAGGCAGTAACTATACTCTTACAATCCACACTTGAGAACTACATCAAAGGGTCAATTAGGATGCATTGAGTTCAACATTTGTTGAATCCTAACCCTATAGGAATTAAATTTATGAGTTGCAATATTATTGAAAGTGCCATACTATCATACCTTTCCACCACGACTGCCATTAATGAAGCCACTGTTTCCGTATTTCGATTGATTGCTCATCCACTTCTCCTCAAGCTTCTTAATCGACTCCATGTAATCCATTTGGCATTTCATTTTCTCCCTCTACAAGAAAATGCAAAATTTAACAGCTGCCAGAATGATGGGAAGACATAAGAGATCGAACTGTTGAAGTGTTAATGCATGTAACAATTAGATTAAAACAGAGGAGATGATTTTCCCCCAAAAATAACTTTGGCTCATATGAAGCACACTTAATGTTATAATACCTATATGGAAACATACTTGAATCATTGTGCACAAGCAAGGGATTGATTGTAAACAAGATAAACAACTCTAAGCTAACCTCCAAAACATCAGCATAATTCATTTCAGCCTCTGAGATTCGCTTGTGTGCTTCTATTGTTTTCCTTTCAACCTCATCCTCAAATGCTTTCTGCTGTCTTTCATTTTCTGCGATGAGTTTGTCAATTTGTATCTCAAGCCTTCTACACAAACTTCTGTAATCGAATTCCTCCTTGATTTTCAACATGTTCTCCACCTTCATAGCCTGGGACATATTTGAATGATAAAACCAGCTATTTACTACACAAGTAAAAAGTCCCACTCACAGATGATAAATTTAGAACAATAATGGGACAATGTGCAAGGATGCCAAGGTTCTGATGCGTATAGCACACTCTCTATAAGCCGGAAGGCTGCTTCTGTGATTTACATTATGACCTTTTAATACAAGAGAGCTACCAAATGTAGGTTCAACCAAGGCTCTTCCTTAAGAGATTCATAATAAGTAAATAGATATAATACGTCATAAGTAAAAACCTGAAAAGGTGACCAATCAAACACATCCTAGGTGAAATTATAAGGTCCCCATATTTTATGATTCTGCTATATAGATTATGGCTGATAATCAGAAAGCAGATAACCTTTTATTTACATTAGAATGAACAGAAAATAACGAATCAAACTTCAGGTTTTCAGAAGTTATAGGTTGCTCACCCTTTGTCCAAACAATATAGTACTTGCAGTCTCTGCACGATGGCGTGGAGATGGGCCAATAGTTATAATCAATGATGTTCTTGCAGTTCCTGCAAATAGAGTAGTAAAACAGTACACAATCATGCCAAATGTAATGTGACAACCGTCCCGAAGCCTGAAATTAAGGTACTCGATGGAGATAGGAGGGGGGGCTTTATGGCCAGAGTCTTCAAGATATAGCATACTAGCATGCACCATTTCATTCAAGTATGAGTAACAATTTAATGTGTAGATGAGAAACAATGACATTTAAAAACTATATCTAATTTATATTTGATAGAGAGAAAAAAACAAGTTGTTCGTATTCTAGAGAACTCGCCTCCAAATGAATCTTTAAGCAGCCTTGTCAGCTTAGAATCTCTAACAGGTACATGAGTGCTATTCTCTGCTAGAGCATTTATGCACTTCCCCAACGCACTTAGAGAAAGATTGATAGATTTGGCTTCCTCTAATGTGTGTCCCTCACTTCCTGTTAAAACATAAGAGAACAAAGAAAATCCACACATACATTAAGTCAAAACCATAGACCATAATGCGCTAGTTGTAAGGAACAGATGACAGTTGCCTTGAACAACTGTACCAGACAAAAAAAGATAGCTGGTTTACTGGAACATAACTTCAAACAGGAAACAACAGCTACAATATGCTTCCAAATATAGAAATCAAATAGACACCTACAAATTTAATTTTAGAGATAAAAACATCTCAATATTTCCTTCCTAGTGAGTATTGTAAGTCAACTCATGTCATCCCCAAAAACATGCTGTTATGCCCTGTATTGTAGTAAAAAAGGGTGGATTGTGGTAGGAAAGTACAAGTGTTTAGTGCAGTAGTACAAATAGGGGAAGCAAGGATAGTGGGTCGGTTAGTAGCTTTAGTTAATATAAATAAGGGGAGTAGGGGGAGAAAGGAATCGATCAGTTTTGTTACTTTGTAGTTTGGCGAGACCTCACTCTCTGAAAGCTGAGAACATTTTATAGTCATCCAATTTTAATAGATATTACGCACTTGGAACATCGGTATACATCACTCACATCAGGATATTGTTAGTCATATTCTAAGTATCCAAAGGGTGGGCCAGAACATGGCATCTTATATCAAAATCATGGTCACCACATGATAGAAGGTTTCACAGATGCTGATTAAGATGGAGATCCTACAAACAGGCACTCCACCACCACTACTAGTTGGGTCTTTGTTGGAGGCAATGTTGTCAATTGAAGAGCGCGAAACAGAGTGTTGTATCTTAATCAAGTGCATAATCCAAATATAGGGCTATGGCACAAATAACTTGTGAACTTAGCTACATCATTTACTTGTTGTTGATAAAGAATAAGCTATTCATATTGCAAATAGTCATGTGTTCCATGAATGAACTAAGCATGTAGAAGTTTACTGTCATTTCAATCAGGAAAAGTCTAGAGGAACTGAGGAAGGAACAATGACAACTCCACATGTTAGAATGGGGAGTCAATTAGTCGATGTGTGCACCAAAGCATCGCCTGGGAATCGAGTTAATATATTTGTAACAAGCCAACCATGATCACCATCTATGGTCCAGCTTAAAGGATAGTGTTATAGAATAGGAATGCATATATTTAGGAGGGTTATTAGGGATTTGATTTAAAAGAATTGATTTGATTCCCTTCCTTTACGTGTCTACTCATGCATGATACACAAAAATCAATAAACTCTCAATTCATTACGATCTCTTACAACAATTATGACAGTCTCACAAGGCGCACCAAATTTCATGTGTAATTGCAACTCAAACCTCATCAAATTACCACCTATCAAAAATATGATGGCAACTCCAATCTCAAGACGTGTTGACCAGAAAGGATAAGATATAGGGAGAAGCAATTTGGAGCAAAACAGACATGCATGCAAATCAAAAGTCATGTGCATTCAATGTCAAACAACTTCCCTTCTATGAACGAGGATCCAAAAGACACACACCATAGATTTAAGTGTAAGCACCTGACTTATGAATACGCTCAGAGCCAGCAAGATCTACAACAACTAGTTTGCCTTTCCGTATGATTGGTGGCTTTAAAGTATTTCCCATGTGAGAGGAATGGTCACTTTCACTTGCAATGTCAGATTCCATCTCAGCAACAGATCTCTTGATATGTACCTAAATTGGTGTATCAAAAAGAGGCAGTATCAAGCATATCATTTACTGACATAGTTTGAATAGCTTGAAGATATAACTTATAGGTATATTAAACGACCACAACTCATTCACATACCATGAGAATAGCATGACTACGAGAAGACTCGGTATTGAGTTTTGTGTTAGTAGCAACTCGATGTGCTTCTCCCAAACGCAATAACTCCATAAAGTCCTTATGGTTTCGAATGTCCACCATGGTTGCAGATGGTACGGAAACATCACCAGTCCTCGGATCTTCAACGATGGAAATATTATCGTTTTCTGGATTTAGGAGGTCTTGGATTGTCTCCATGTAAATCTGTACACATTTTTCAACCAAGAACATCAAGACTAGAAACCTAAATCTTACAATTGCTTCTTAAGTTGCAATCAAGGATGAACAGTAGTGCATGGTTAAGTGTAAGAAGTAGTTTACACATTGTAAGGACATAACCTGCAAGTATGAGATTATGACAGAATCTGAACCCTGAGATATATTAGCTAGTATATCCTCCATTGCACGGACCATGATTCCACGAGCTGATGTGTCTTCATCTCCAAGTCGTCCGAGAGTGAAAGTCTTTCCTGTGCCGGTTTGACCATAAGCCATCACTGTCCCATTATAACCATCTAGAACACTCTAATATGCATGAGGTATATCAGTAACTAGAAGTTCAAGTTTTAAACATATAATAACTGCAAGATAAAAAGTAACAGAAACATAAACATGCTTATTAGATAGCTGTTCAAAGTGTCATGCTATCATGATTTAACACACCCTCTTATCTCTTTCAAACATAAATTACTTGACGCATTCCTATACATGAGAAAGTGATTAGTTTACAGCTCAACATGTAAAGTAGGAATATCAGAAGTCATTTATCATAAGCTATTGTTAAGACTGAAATACTTTTAGGTCTCAACACCATTGATGGCATAGTGCTACGATATAGTCAATAGGAATCATGTCAAGTGCTGGCCAAACTGGGCACAACATTTAATTCAACCCCAGATGGATTCAATGCTGACCCTTCTATCTGTAACAGCTAACAGATCAACGAAGATGTCAAACGGCGCTGATAAAGATTGATTTTTTTCTGAGCAGAAAGGCTCAATGTTGTTTCATTAGTCTTATAGCACTTTTCAAAGTTCAATGCTAACATCTTGTTCAAGAACTTAAAATGAAGTCAAGTTTTGTCATGACAGTCTCTTACTCTATACCAAGACCAGCTTCTAACCACTTAAAAAGAAGCTAAGCCAGGTTGTTTTGCTGCCTTGAAGCCATATATAGGAATGAGGAATTGAGTCACTTTTTAGGCCCAGCTGCAATGTAGGATACCCAAGGCTTTTCTTTTTCAATGAGCTACCAAAAAACTAGAGAACCACATGTTAGGAAAGAAATTTTGTCACTCAGACCAACTCTTAAATCCTATCTGCTTACTAGACCTGAAAAACTTACTACATATCTACTATCAGCTTAGAGTTCTTTGACACAGGAAAATCAAAAGTAAAATGTAAAAGGGCAGTAAACAGAGATGTAGTTGTTTAATCGTTTATGTAATGAAATCTTGAATCTCAGAGACAAGTAAACTCTTTTTGCCCAATCCAACAAGCATCAATGAGTCTCGTATCCAAAGATGTGTTCTAACATCCTACCGCATATTCCAACCTTTCCAGACAATTTTACCTCATTTTGTTGCTTTTATATTTTTAAAGCTCCGGGTGTCTGTGGAAGCATGACAGAGGGTAGAAAGTGTAACAAGATTGGTCCCCACTCTCGCATTCTTGATCTTTAAATTCAGTCGCAGACCACAGCCAGTGATATCAACACAAAATAAACATCGGTTATTAGATCTAAAAACCTCAAGGTTTTAAAGTACAAAAATGTGAGGCATAAGCGTCGAGGTAGAAAAATAATGAAAAATTCAAAAAAAACATATAAGAACAGAAAACATTATTACTGGACACCATATATACACAAAATGCATAAATACTAAATACATACATATATATATATATATATATATATAAACAATAAGGGGGCAAGATTGCAAATAAAGGGGGCCGAAAACAACAATCTGTAGATAAAAATACCCTGAAATCAAGGATTGATAGTTTATATTTTGAGCTTAATGTAAACAATAGCAGTTCAAGTATAAGCATTGCCCATAAACCATATCTAAGATAGTTTAAACCTTTAGTAATTGAAAAAGATCAGAAGCACGAAACACCACCCACCTCCACAACAGGTTTTGCAACAACTTCATAAACTCGCTTCTGGGATGCAAATTCAGTGAGCACCTCATCAAATTCATAGGTATCTGAGTCCCAACTGTTCTTTCGAAGTTTTAATCGTTTAAGCTGAGAATATATCACAATATGCCATGAATATCATTTCAAATGATTGATCAAATCCTAATAGCAAACGTGTAACTCAATTGATCTTGAGAGACTAATTTATGATTATAAGAAGCATAATGCTCCGCACCTCTGGTTGCAATTCCACACAATCTGCAAAATCAGCATCTGCCACCAACTCCTCAGCATTTTGAGGTCTCAATCTCACAGCAACTCGAACTCTACCAGAAACTGTAATGCCAACTCAGGATCAGTTTAAATCTATGAAAATTTGTTGGTGGGTGATAGTGAATCAGCATCAGAAGGCCAATTTCAGTGAATGCAGAAAGGTGAATGTTTAAAGTCCACAAGATACAATATGAGCCAAGAGCCAGTTCCCCAGTTAGTTTCAGTTTTAAAATCGTCTAAAGCGGTAAGATACTGAAAAAGATCATGAATAGAACTTCTTGGAATGTGAAAGTGTTATTCTCCAATGTGAAACCATGTTTAAGCCTCCCGTAACTTAATCATCGTGTTGTATACTCATCAGATAGTTCAACAGTATTTCTGTCTATCTAACAAAGAGCGTATGATATCATAATACTCGGAAGGATGCAATGGAAGATGTACCAACTTTTAAGCGACAACACTGGGAAAGCGTTTTATCTCAAATTCGTTATTATTTTCTTTAAATTTTCATTGTCATACCCGATGGAAGTTCAAGAAGAGAAATTGATAACCTCATGTCTTCATCTCACTTTAGAACTCATGCTATTTACCAAAAATGAAAACTCAAGAGACTTTACCAATAATAATCAAATTCAACCAAACGGCAGGGGCACAAGGGTCTTAGTACTATCCAGGTGCGAAGAAGCCCGTGGAACTTTATTGTTCCTCGGAGGGCTAAGGGGACGGTGCTGGTGTTACATAACACCGCGAACGTGTCGTCAATAATCACTACTACCCAGAAAAAAACCAATATCACTGTTAATAAATAATCACTACAATAGGGAACAAAAAGCAAGCAAAATAAAGTACCCTGGTCTACAATTCAATACTTTCGGATTTGCTAATAATAATAATTATGGTGTTCTATGATAGCGTACATCGAGACGTGATTTGGAGAAGCCTGGAGAAGAGATGGATACCTTGGAGGTATATCAGGAAAATTCATGATATATACAAGAGAAAATTAACGTGTGTGAGGACAGGACCCAAGTAGGTGAGACAGAGTACTTCCTTCCTGGTGGAGACAGGCTACAAGTCTACAACACTAAAACAGGACTTGACACTAATCTCATTTCTATTTGATGTTATCTTAGATGAGATTTGACGCAGGATTCAAGGGAGTGTCCTTTGTTATATGTTATTTGCATTTTGCAGACAACATTGCACTAGTAAAGGAGACAAAAGGGAGGTGAATGCTAAGTTGGATTCAAGGGAGTGTCCTTTGTTATATGTCTTGTGCAAGTTTTCTCATATAGGGGTCTTTTAGCTCACTTACTTGTTAGGTTGTTTAGTTCTTTGGTATTTCCCCTGTTGCCTTAAACGCCCCTACTTGTTCGAATCTTATTTCATGTTGTTCACTATGTATAGCGCTAATTGTTTGAATCTTATTTCATGTTTCACTATGTATAGTGCTACTTGTTTTAATCTTATTTTATGTTATTTAATGTGTATTGCCTTCCGAATTTTGGCTCAAGCTTTTCTCCAACTCTTCGCAACTTCTTTTCTTGCATTTGGTAGTCTTACTCTCTCCAAAACTTTTTCACCGGTCGTGGGTCTTCACGCAAGGAGCATCTAATACTCTTTGGAGTAGAGGAATGGTCATGTACATCTTACCCTCCCCAATCTTACCTTCCCAAGACCCCACTTTGCATGGGAATAACTGGGTTTGCTTGGTTTGCTTAAATCAAGTTCAACCACTTGCTCTCAGTAATCACTATTATACAGAAACAGCCAACCTTGTGGTAAATAAATAATCACTACAAAAGGGAACAAAAAGCAACTGCAATAAAAGTATCCTTGATTGCAACAGCAAGATCAGCAATTCAGCCTCAATGAGAACCAAGACAAAAATCATAATTGCACTACGTGGTCCATTACATCCTTCATGTTACAACACTTATTCTAAAAATTCGAATTTCCGATAGTACTCGTTCTCAGAAAATGCATAAAATGGTGATACAATGCATGTGCAGTGCTCATCAATGTTTGTACCTACCTGGTAAGCTATTACTATTTATAATATGTGTAAAGCATCTGTCTCAAAGCTACTATGACTCTAGAAAAGGGCTTTACCAGGTATACTCTACAATTAGTTCTCATCATTTGGAATCTTAATTGCAATAAAATTTAAGCCTATCCATATCATTGTAACTTATTATGACCAGTGGATGTAAAATGAATTAAGAAAAGAGCTAGACAAGTGACATGCTGCTACAATGCCTAACAGGCTAACATATGCATTGGTGACAGACTTCATTTATCGATCTCGCTGCAAATAACCATCACTATTTCTAAATACAATAAATAGGAAAACAATGCAATAGGAGCATTTGCAGATCGCAACGTCGAGAGAGATCAGCACTTTTAACAAGGAAAAGAAACAAACTGAATATATTCAAAATTATTTGAAGAAAACTCCAAACTCACCATGGTCATCAAGGTTAGCGCCGGAGCTGCCACGACGGACATTAGATGTCTTGGATTTGAAGGAAGAAGAAACTCTGAGATTCGCTGTAGCACCTCCTTGAGTGCGATCCACCTTCACCGGTCCCCTCCCATTTTTGTACGAAGCCATCACTCTGACTTCAACTAAAAGCTTCTTCTTCCACCGCCGCCGAGGACGACGATTAATAAATCATGGAAATGTACCGCCAGCAGGTATGATTTGGATGATTTATTGAAAGTATTGACAGTTTCAATTGATTGTAGAGAGAGAGTGTGTGTGTGTGTTTGGGGGGGTTTCGGTTCCTTGGAGAGTTCAAACAAAAGTAAACATGGAGGGTGTGGTGGGCCCGAACTTTGCGGTGCTTTTGGAGCAGAGCTTGGAGGAGATGGGTCCAGGCCCCAGGGTGAGTCTTCCTTCGTTTTTAGTTTTACCTATTTCTAGGACAACTAAGCGGCATTAAATTGTTAAATTGACCGTTCAAATATTTTTCACTAATAACTTCAATCAAAGTGGTTAATGATTTAGGAGTTGTTTATCAGACATTTACTCGGTAAGCATTTATCAGTGAAATATAATATAATTATTTACTTATCGGATAAGATTTTAGTCAATAAAAACGGCTTTCTATGCAATAATTTACCCGGTAAGAACTGACCGTGGTAAGAGTCATTATCATCACTTATCGGGTAAGACTCTCAGTCATTGCTTCGTTCTTACCGGATAAGATTTTTGGTCCTTACCATATTCATCCGGTAAGATAATATAACTTGGTAAGCGCTTACCCAAGTAAGCATTTGATAAACGGTCCCTTAAATTTGATATTATTTAAATTAAATTGTGTTTTAAATGATTAAGTTTTATGATAAAAAAAAAATTAATGAATAAGTTATTGATTTATAAACATTGTAAATAAACATAAAAATATAATCACTGTAAAATATTTATTAAAAAAAGAGTAAATTACGAATTTGATCCATGTGGTTATATGACAATTTTGGATTTGATCCCCCAAACGAATTAATTATAGTCATGGTCATCGTTGTTTCACTTTTATTTCGGATAAGTCCATCCATCTAACTCCATTCAACTATGAGGGGCATTTCTGTCATTTTAAAAAACCCTTTTTTTAATAATTTTTAAATTTTGTTTATTCATCCTCTCTTAGCGGTGTTTAGGATTGCATGTTTGAAACGACTTATGCTTTTCTACAAAAGCACGTATCAACTTAGTATAAGTCAGAAAGGTTTAACTTATTTAAAAATTGTTTATTACCGATTTGACACCAGTATAAATTGTTTATCTAAACACTCAAAAGTGCTTATTACCAATGTCACAACGGAATAAGTCAATCATTTATAAGCAATCCCAAACAGCCCCTTATTTGATATCGAAGCGTACAAATCAAGAACACCTTCCATTCTTCTGATTACATTCAAGACAAATCTTTCAATTTTAATCATCTTCCTCTCGTTTAAGGTATTTTCAATCGATCAAATCTCCTTCCACTTTTCTTCATTTTCTTCCCCTCTAAAACCGACTAAGTGTGGTTCATCTGTTTGATTCACACATCATCGACAACAACAAATTCTGACAAGAACTTGAACTTGAACTTGAAGCATCAATCAAAGCCATGAAGAAAGAAGTTCTAACATGGAAGATTATTATGATAGATCTTCAATGTAATAAAAGTGGGATAAATATCTGTGAACAAAAGAAAAACCACATTAGGGTGAAACCAAAAACCAGTGACCAAAACTGATGAAAAATGCAAAATAGAGTAAGGTGTCGTTTATCAAACGCTTACTCGAGTAAGCGCTTACTAAGTCACTTTACTTTACCGGATGAATATGGCAAGGATTAAGAATCTTACTCGGTAAGAGCGAATGCAAGAATCGAGAGTCTTACCCGGTAAGTGAGGGCGACCACTCTTACCATGGTTAGCGCTTACCGGGATTAAATTGTTGCATACGATACGTTTTAGTGAATAAAATCTTATCCGGTAAATAAGCGATAGTGTTGAATTTTACCGGTAAGTGCTTACCGGATAAGTGTTTAGGTAAACGGTCCCTAATACGCAAACCAGTGACAGAAACCTATGAACAAGATGCAAAATAGAGTACAACCCAAACTAGTGACGAGAACTAGTAAAAAATGCAAAATGGAGTAAAACCAAAACCAATGACTTACCATCCATTTCGATAACATGCTTGTTTGTTAAGTTGCTTCGAAGTAGCCACGATGTCGCACCATTTTCTTTGGCTTTTAGACGAATAATGGCATTGAAGGATCGATTGGAGATGAAGATTACGGTAGGTTTGGAGATGATGAATGTTTTTTTTTTTTTTTGGCTTAAGGGACGTAATCAGACTTATGGGAAATGAGGAGGTTTTCTTCAAATATGAGTTCTAAAATCATATTAGTGGAAAAACTATATTAAAAAGAGTTCTTTTTTAAATGACATAAATGCCCCTCACGTTGGGGCATGTGGGGGGTCTCTAACAACTATAAAATAAACAAAGTCAAGTCTGAGGGATATCTGTAATTAATTTATTTAAGGGGACACAGTCTAAAATTTCATATAACCACAAGGACCAAATTTGTAATTTGAAAAATAAACATATAATAAATTTCTAATTACAAGAATTTCACATCATTATTCTATATTAGAAGGGTACTCGCGCACTCGCGCAATGCAGCGAGATACATCTTATTTTGATATTTCATTTTATTTTTTATCTAAGTCGATGTTATAATATGGTCTTATATGATTTTGAGAAAGCCACGATGTTTTTATTTTTGAATAAAATATAAGTTTGAAGATAACATAAAATTTTGACAAAAATATATCGATATTAATATCAAATTAACTATTTAAAATTCATTATTTTTTGTGTAATATTTTAATTCAATTTTTTAATAATTTAATTTATGTACAATAACGAAGTAATTTATATTTGGTTTAA